ACGTGTGTGTGTGTGTGTGTGTGCGTGCGTGCGTGCGTGTGTGCGTGCGTGGATGCTGTTGAACTGAATGAAGTACTTTATTTTTTTAACAGGCGCACATTCAACCAGGAAAGCAGAGTAACACAGGGTCTACAGCTGAAAAAGATAGTGGCATTTCCCCAATGTCAGAGCCACAAACGGTATGTACTGTGTGATTAATCATAAAAAATGGAAAAATGTGATCTTTAACAAATGAACATGATGATGATGATGATTATTATTATTTACCAGGACCAAGTTCAGGTGGGGAAACAGAGTAGCACAGTTTCCGCAGGTGAAGAGATGCACTCTTGTTCCGTCCCAGTGGCTCCTTTCTGGTATGTGAACCACATGTACGAAAAGGAAATCAAACATATAGAAAAAAAGAACGGAGTTAAAATCATGGCAGATTTGAAGGTGAGATTTGAAGAAGACCAAAAACATGGGAGACCAGACAATGCTCTCGATGAGTTTGCAAACCTCGTCCAGAAGAGCTTAGCTGAATCCTGTGGCTCAGTTATTCCTCTCAAGTTCATAGATCCAGATCAGTGGGGCGATGCACTGAAAACAATCCAGGAAAAAGAAAACAAGCTTTTGGTTACTCTGACCTCTGAAACAATGACTGTACGTGGGCCAACACAAAGTCAAGAGGCCATGAAAAAGTTATTAAATGCAGATACAGAGCAGAAAAAAAGCGTAGATACTTCTCATGAAGAGAATGAAAGAGAGACTCAAGACACATCATTGAAGATTGACATGACCACCAAAGACCATCTCATGCATATGGGACTAACGATGGAGGAGAGCTACTGGAAGGTGATGATTACCTCTTACAGTAAGAAGGTAGCAAAGATCAAAGATAAGTTTAATGTGGACCTGAAAGAATCAGACGTTGGTCAAGGCAAAGTCAATGTCAAAGCTGTATACAAGAAAGATGAAGGAAATGCCTCCATGGAGAGCCATGCTATGAGAGAGCTTTTCCATTTGTATCAGAAAACTGCCATGTCTCCCATGAACTTCTCCCAGTCCAATGCTGGAATGTGGGGTTTCTCATGGCTATGGCAGTAAACTCAGTCTACTGTTTAATGTCTTGTGTTATTTGCATGCTTACAGTAGAATCTTTATATAATTTTATCATGTTATCATGTATCTTTGTATTGTTTCTCTGAAACCTTTGCAAAATATCAGGCTGAACAATGTTTGCTGAAAAATGGAAACATAAAATAAACAATTTTTTCATGTTTGTTTTTGTATGAAATGACTTTGCCTTTATTTTGTTTCTTCCTGCTTTTTAAAGGAACCACCCATGCTGTTTATTTGATTTCCTGTACATATACTAAATAAATAATGAATAAGATTTATTTCATTTAATTATAATTGAAAAGAACGGCGGGCATTTTTAAGGCTGAGACTACGGTGTTCATGTTGGCATATTGCAGTGTTTGTTGCAGTGTTTGTTCTCCCTCTACACTAATGACTGCACCTCCAAGAACTCGGCTGTTAATCACCTGAAGTTTGCAGGCGACACCACCGTCATTGGCCTCATTCAGGATGGTGATGAGTCTGCTTACCGGCAAGTTGAGCGCCTGGTACTCTGGTGCAGTCAGCACAATCTGGAGCTGAACATGCTTGAGACTGTAGAGATGACAGTGGACTTCAGGAGACATCCCTCAACACTTCCTCCCCTCACCATATCAGGCAGCCCGGTGTCTACTGTGGAGATCTTCAAGTTCCTGGGTACAACCATCTCCCAGGACCTGAAGTGGGAGACCAACATCAACTCCATCCTCAAAAAGACCCAGCAGAGGATGTACTTCCGGACTTTTTGACTGGCAGACGGTACAGAAGCCTGCAGACCAGGACCACCCGACACAGGAAGAGTTTCTTTCCCCTCGCCATCTCCCTCCTAAACAGTTGTCACACTGCTCCCACTGCCAGACTGCAACTGCACCTTATGTACATTCTGTGATATTCATTTCACTTAATCTCATTTCTGTCATCCTGTATTTTATGTATATAAGATTTAGATTGGTTATTTATGGTTGGTTTTGTATTGTGTTGATTACACTGTTGAGATTTATTTATACTGCTGTGCTTGAGAGTCACCATCTACCGGAACCAAATTCCTTGTGTGTGTGTGGATATACATGGCCAATAAACGCGATTCTGATTCTGATTTAAAAAAAAAAAACAGAAAACACAGCACCACAAATTAAGTGGAAACATGATTAGTATTAGGGAAATATTAGCAGAAAATGTACTTAAGCTACATTTTTCAGTGGATTTTGGCTCATAAATTTAACCTTGGCTTATAATTAATACTCCCCCCCCCCCCAAGTATCATATGCCTGAAAGGAGTCGAACATAAAATAAAACGCAACGTTTTATTTTATGTTTGTCAGTATCATATGAGACAGTAGGTTATCTTACACAAACTATTAACTATATCTGAGATATCAAGGAAACAGCTTATATCTCACCTAAAGAACATTTCTGTCCTTTTCATGCAGTGAAGAAGGATTTAGTTTCCACAGTCAGCTGAGCTAACAGACCTCCAGCCAACACGCTGCTGGAAATGACAGAGGTGCGCTTGCGTGTGGAGGGTGACGCAGCTCCTTATTGCGGAGCTGCAAGCTTTCGCTTTCGTTTATGCGGAAGTACCAGTGTTTAAAGTAGCGAGACAAGGGTAAGTCGTATGCGCAGTAAAGTAATATTTTCAAGATATATTTCTGTTCAGATACACATAACGTGTGAGATAACTTTGTGGCTGTTACAGGTTTGATTAAAATGTAAGACATAAGGAAACTTAAAGTGGAGTGTAACCGAGAGTGTAGCTCTGCAGGCTAGGTGGAGAGCGATGTTAGCTAATTTATGGAAACGGTTTTATAAAAAATCGCCAAATAGAGAATTGCTGGTTGTTGGGGTGCAACACACTGTTGTTATGTCGTCTGAGTTTGGTGTGTTTTGAAGGAAGAAGATCAAAATCTGAAACATGGCCACTGGACAGTCCGTGGACGAGTCCGAGCCCATGGATGTCGACAGTTTTGACAGCGACAAACCTGAGGACATGAGCCAAGTACGTAAACTAACACCGAATCAGAATAAAAGAAAATTGTTACAGGAACACCGGTGTTAATTCAATCATTAAATATCCAGAGTTTTATCATCAGTAGGAGTAATTTATTTCTTGTTTTAAATTTTACTTTTTTACACCACACTTTGTTTTTTATGCACCTAAAAGCCTTTCTTCATTATTATCGGTGAATAATTCTGCTGTGAGTAAAAGCCAGCAACGTTCAACACCTAGCCACCCACCTGCTGCAGTAAGTGTTTTGGGGAGTTTGCCTGCATGCGCCTAAGTGCACAATAACACGTAACACATTCCAGCTTTTGTCTGTCTTCTTATAAAGAGTATGTGAAAGTGAGATCAAAAATACAATCTCAGCTGGTGTGCTCTGGAGGTTCAGGAAATACATCATGAGCAGAATGTGTAAAGCTGCTTAGTGTAGCTGTTGTCACCATTGGAAAAACTTGTAATAACATGTGAACTGTAACTGTGATCATTAGTGAGAACATTTGTAAAGTTCTAAGGCTGCAAGGTGACATTAATGTGGCAAATGTAAAAAATATGACATTTAGCTAACCTCAAACTATTTATCTGGATTATAATAAAAAAGAGAAGTTCTAAAGATGGGTAAATATTTCAACAATGATATAAAAAAAACCCATTTTAAATAAAGGTGTTTTCAGCTGAATCTCAAAGGCTTACACAGTCTTCCAGTGTTTTATTATTTGTTTGTTTTATTTTGTCACAGGATGAAGATGAAGCTCACATTGTTCTCTCAGTGAAGTGGATCTCAGTGAAGTGGGTCTCAGTGGAGCCTGATGATGAACTACAAAAAGTTAAGAAGCTAGAGTCTCGTCTACAGAAAATGCTTCAGTCTTGGATCAACAAACGCAAAACTATGACGGAATGCTCAGTGAAAAGGACCTTAGATAATGGGCATGTTGTGATAAGCATTAAACCAGCTGCAGGTGCAGTAAAGTCCTACATAATTATCTGATTAAATTCCTATCTTTATAACTTTTTCAGTAATAAAAATATTTTGACTTCATTCTGTATATATATTGGTTTTAACATATAATCAATTTCCTGTTTTTTTAAGCCGTGAATGAACTTAAAAAACTTAGTGAAGAAACACTAAGCAAGGATGAAAATTCAGTCTTGATAACATCCGTCAGTCAGCTATATCCACAGCTTGATAGACAAGTACTAGAGGATGCTTCAGTGAACCTGCCAGAGCCACAAACTGTAAGTACTATGTAGTATATCTTTAAAAAAAAACAAATATTACTATATGCTATTGAATTAAATGATGTACTGTTTTTTTTTTTTTAAAGCAGCAAGTTCAACTGGAGAAAAAGAGTAAAGCAGGTTCTACAGCTGGAGAAAAGATGTGCGCTTCTTTCATACAAGAGCCACAACATGTATGTAGTGTGTCATTAATCAAAAAAGTTAATATTAAAATAAAAAATGTTTTAATAAATTAGCATAATGATTTTTATTTTTAAACCAGGACCAAGTTCAGGCGGGGAAACAGAGTAGCGCAGTTTCTGCAGGTGAAGAGATGTGCACTTGTTCTGTCCCAGTGGCTCCTTTCTGGTATGTGAACCACATGTACGAAAAGGAAATCAAACATATAGAGAAAAAGAATGGAGTTCAAATAAAGGCAGACGTTAAGGTGACATTTGAAGTAGATAGAAAACATGGGAACCCAGACAATGCGCTCAAGGAGTTTGAAAACCTTTTCCAGAACAGCTTTGTTGAATCCAATGGCTCAGTTATTCCTCTCAAGTTCATAGATCCAGATCAGTGGAGTAATGCACTGAAAACCATCCAGGAAAAAGAAGACAAGCTTTTGGTTACTTTGACCTCTAAAACAATGACTGTACGTGGGCCAGCACATAGTCAAGATGTTTTCAGTAAGTTGTTAAATGCAGATACAGAACAGAAAAGAAACACAGATGCTTCTCATGAGTTTCGAAAGACATCACTGAAGATTGACATGACCACCAAAGACGATTTCCCACATGCAGGACTGATCATCGAGAAGACCTTTTGGATGACTATCTATGATAATAAGCAAGTAGCAAGGATCAAAGATAAGTTTAATGTGGAATTGAAAGAATATGACATTGGTCATGGCAAAGTCAATGTCAAAGCTTTCTACCAGAAAGAAGGAGGAAATGCCTCAATGGAGAGCCACGCTCTAAGAGCACTTCTCTGTCTATACCAGAAGTTTGTTGCGTCCCCCAAGAGTTCATTCCAGTTCCATGGTGCTACTGGATTCAGTGGCACACCCATTTCTCAGTCAGAGGGTCCCCCCAATGAGCGTATGTTGAATGGCCAATCAGAAAAAACGAAGCACAACACTGACCCACCAATTGACAGTGGGACAACAGCAGGTGACCAAAAGGACGAAAGGTGTCCTATATGTTTGGATAAATTTGAAAATAAGAAACAGCTCAAGTGCAAACATGAATTTTGTAAAGACTGCCTGAGACAAGCGCAGGAAGCGAATGGGCCCATCTGTCCTATATGCAGAGTCGTCTTTGGTAAGATAGTCGGAGACCAACCACATGGAACAATGTCACACCAGATACTCACATTTCCCCTCCCTGGATACTCAGACTGTGGCACCATAACGATCCGCTATGAGATTCCAAGTGGAACACAGACGGTAAGTGACAATTTTATCTGAGTGCCTATGTCCCTGTTTAAAAAATAAAACATGATTGTGTTTTCATTTTGTGGTTGTATGTATATATTTTTCTAATATTGTTTACTTTCCATTCGTCTTTCTAGGAAAAACATCCCAATCCTGGACAGCGCTTCCATGGTATTGGTAGAACAGCATATCTTCCAGACAACAAAGAGGGCAATGAAGTGCTGCGACTGCTGAAAAAAGCTTTTGACCAGAAGCTCATTTTTACTGTTGGTACATCCAGAACAACTGGTATGGACGGCCAAGTGACCTGGAACGACATTCACCACAAAACATCCACATCTGGAGGACCAGATTGGTAGGGTAACCAATTTCCTTACTAGCGTTTTGATATATGTTTTCTTTCACAGTTTACTCTAATAAAATACTACATGTTAACCTTGGATATGTTCTGTTTCCACAGCTTTGGGTATCCTGACCCTAAGTACCTGAGCAGAGTCAAAGAGGAGTTAAAGGCCAAAGGCATTGAGTGAAGACTTTGATACAAAGTGCAGGTGGATTAGATCTCAAAGAGGCTAAAAACAAGATTACTCTTTAAACAGACACTGAAATTCAAACACTCTGTTTTGCTCTCTTTTCTCTGTTAATTCTTCAAATGATCAGTAGGGGTTAGAATTTACTTTTTTCATTAGCCACATATATTATCTTCAAATATTGGGTGATTACATTTTTTTGTTGATTGTCAAAATTTTCATCATGTAACAATATAAAATGTAGATTTGCATAAACACAGATTTATATAATCTCAGGTCTACAGTGCTGATGGTCTGAGTTGCTGTTTGCCTAATAAATGATTAAATCCTCCACACTGAATTCCTCCTTTTATCAGGACCGGTTGTGAACAAAACACAGAACACTGTGGCTTGTTTTCTGTACAATTTTTAAAATTTTATTTATAACAATATCTGTTATTTAGTTTGTAAAGTACTCCAGCAAAAATTAAACATTATTCTCTTTTCAGAAGAAAGTCTGCGCCTCCATGCATTGTGTACTATAAAAGCTATGTGTCATTTTTCATTTTAAAAAACCAAGGACTAATCAAAACAAAAGTCTGGAAATGCACATATGATTTAGCAAAAATGTCCTTTCGGTAAAATGATTGTACTTCTCTCTCAATTAAAGACAAAACATACACGACGGCATAAAATAACACTGGCTTGACAGGTAAGCAAAATAAAAACTTGTTATTGTAGTTACACTGAAGACTTGTGTTACTTTTCACATGCATTAAGATATGGCTGACACATTTCTGACAGAAGCAGCATTTTGGGACAGAGGCTGAGCGTAAGGACGTGTCAGAGCAACCAGAATGGTAGCATTAGCAGCAACAGGGCACAGAGAAGAGATGGGGAAGGGTTCAAGAAAGAAAACAGAAACGCTAAGGATCAAATGAAAATAATGCACTTAAGACAGAGTCATTACACAACTGTGAACATACAGACTTTGATCCTCTGAAGGCAAATTTACTCACAAAGCCAGATGGATGCTACCTGGTCTTTACAGAACAAAAACCAGGGCTGGAGAAGCAGAACACACATAGAAAAGAAATCTTTCCTTCCTTACATTTGACCATAATTGCAGCCTCTACAGGAAGACCAGAAAACAGACGCTAAATAGTGCAAAGATGACACTATCTATAAGTCTTCTATCAAAAAAGCCCCCGCCATTGTTAGCCAGCTGTTTTCTGGGCATGTACACACAGCCAGCTACCCACCCATTAAAGTATCACCCCATCTATTGCTTTACATCCGTAATCTCCATCCATCACTCTGCCTGGAATGTTTAATCCATAACCACCTTCCACGTTCTTCATATAACTGCACAATCACGCACCAACAAGCCTCTTTATCCTTTCTCCACAGCAACACATCAGCTCCAGCTGTTACACAAAGTGATAAAAACAAACATTTTCTTTACATCTTAAGGTATAAAGCCTACAGTATACACTATACCGTAAAATGTGATATTCTGTGCAAGGAAGACCACACAATCATTTTATGAACATTGTTCTCTGAGAAAGAAAGAAAAATACGTGGAAATACTGTAGTTGCCATCTGGTATTGACATTTTACATGTGCTATACACAAACGGTGCTATCACAAATCTGTCTCACACATTCTTGCCAAGAAGCTCGACAAGATGACAAATGTACCGATTTCAAAAACTTTGAGTTTTTGCCTTTTCCCGCTCAAAGTCGACACAAACAACAGACAGTTGGCACTGGTGAAATGGAACAATGTTTTTGTCTTTTCTATACAATTCATACAAAAATAAAAAATTAAAATTGCTCCAATGATAGCATTTCTTTTTTTTTTTTT